CAATAATTAATGGGTCTCTTCAGGAGGGCAAGGTTCCCCTTGCCCTCAAGGAGACACTCATTAGGCCCATCAGGAAGAAACCAAATTTGGCGTTGGACAACATTGGAAATTATAGGCCTGTTGCCAATGTTTCCTTCCTCAGCAAAGTGGTCGAGAGGGTGGTGGCAGACCAGCTTCAGGTGCTTTTGGATGAAACCAACGCTCTGGACCCATTTCAGTCGGGCTTCAGGCCACGCTGCGGTACAGAGACAGCACTGGTCGCACTTTTGGATGACCTGTTGAGGGAGGCCGATGGCAGCAATATGTCCTTGTTGGTCCTCCTTGATATCTCAGCTGCCTTTGATACCGTCAACCATGGTATCCTCCTGGGGAGGCTCGCCGAGTTGGGAATTGGTGGCCTGGTGCTTGCCTGGCTCCGCTCCTTCCTGGAGGACTGTCCCAGAGAGTACAGCTTGGGGAGAGTGTCTTGGCCCCATGGAGCCTCAATTGTGGGGTTTTGCAGGGGTCAATCATCTCTCCAATGCTGTTTAATATCTATATGAGGCCGCTGGGTGAGGTCATCAGGGGGTGTGGGGCATCGTGCCATCAGTACGCTGATGACACACAGCTCTACATCTCCTTTTCACCTACTTTAGTGGATGCCGTTCTGTCCCTTCAGCGCTGCCTGGAGACTGTACTGCAATGGATGCAGCTGAATGGGATGAGGCTGAACCCAGACAAGACGGAGGTCTTGAGAGTGGGTGGTCCTTCCATTAGCGGTTTAGGTAACTCCCTTTCTTTTGGGGGGAAGACCCTTACCACAAAGAGTGAGGTCCGCAGTTTGGGGATACATTTGGACCCGATGCTTACCATGGAAACCCAGGTGGATTGCTCAGCTGCGACCATATCTTGATGGGGGCCCCTCACTACTCTAGTCTACGCCCTCATAATCTCGAGATTAGACCATTCTAATACACTCTACGTGGGGCTGCCTTTGAGGCTGATGCGGAAACTTCAGGTGGTCCAGAATGCGGCAACCAGGCTCCTTAGTGGGGTGAGAAAATATCAGCACATCTCCCCCACTCTGGCTGCCTTGCACTGGTTGTCCATCCATTTCTGCATTGATTTCAAAGTGCTAATGATTACATACAAAGCCCTAAATGGTTTGGGACCTCAATATTTGGCAGATCGTCTTCTTCCACCTAGATCTACCCGAATCACCCGACATAGCCAGCAGGGATGGCTGAGGGGCCTGATGCCGAGAGAGGCCCGGAAGGAAAAAACTGCCTTCTCGGCAGTGGCCCCTCGGCTGTGGAACACCCTCCCAACTGAAATTCGGCTGGCACCCTTGCTGGGTGTTTTCAAAAGCCAGTTAAAAACTTGGCTTTTCAAACAGGCCTTCCCTCCAGTCAATTAACTGATCTTTATTTTTTTCCTTGAGTCATGCCATCTTGGTAATATGTTGTTTGGAATTAATTGCTATAACTGTGTCTTTGATTATTTTTATACATGTTATATTGTGTTTTTATCCATGTAAGCCGCCCCGAGTAGACTTTGTCTAGGGGGGCGGGGTAAAAAAATCTAATAAATAAAATTAGAAAAAATCTGCCCTCAGTCTTTTCTCAAGGCTAAACATGTCCAATTCTTTTAGTCTTGGGTTCCAGCCCCCCTGATAATCCTTGTTGCCCTCTGAACTTGTTGCAATTTGCTGGCATCCTTTATGAAGTGTGGTGTCCAGAACTGGACATAGCACTCAAGATGAGGTTTAACCAGTGCAGAATAGAGAGGAACTAGTACCTCCTGGGATTTGGAGACTATACTTCTGTTAATGCAGCCTAAAACTGTATTTGCCATTTTTGTAGCCATATCAGACTGTTGGCTCATATTGTTAACAGTGGCAGAAACTGGATAAGAGAAATACAAACAAGTTTTTTTTTTTTTTTTACCAAACCATGGTAGTTTGCTAGATCAATACAAAGTAAGTTGATTAGGCCGGCCATCTTACTCACAAAGTAAAAACATTTGTCAGAGTTCAACTGCAACATATATTGATAACCTTCTTAATTTTTGTTTGTTTGATATGATTATGGAAATAGATGTTCTACAATTTGCCCCATTCAATATTCTTGATTTAAAAACATCACTAATACCTAAAAGATATGTCTGACATTTGGAGAGATGCATTATAAATCAAATGGAAGCATTTTAATATTTGAGTTTGGTTTATTTAGAAACATCCTCATAGAATGCATATTTAACTAATATTCAACAACAAGCTTTAAGTCCAGCTAAAGGTATTCTGAATTTTGATGTCTCTAAAGGAAGAACCATGATAGAGACTATACTTCCTGTCTGTACAGGTAAGTCTGTACAGGTAAAACAACAGCCCGAATGCTTTATGGGACAGACATCTGGGATATTTCGAAGGGGTCAGGTTTAGAACTACCTCAGAATTTCTTAAGAGTCAGGCTGGGTTTACTCACAGATGCACCATCTATTATGGTCAGGTTAGAAATATGTACTAAGACTGACAGCCAAATTCATAAATGAACATTATGTTACTGGCTGAGAAGACTCAGCAAATTAATAGGCACCCCCAACCAAAAGTTTTCAAGACCTGAGCAAGGTGTTTAATCATAGGGCTTTTTGGAGGTTATTGATTCATGCCAGAAAGTCAGAAGTGACTTGATAAAATGTCACAATAACACTGCCCAAGAAACAGTCAGCCAAATCAACCAATGATTACCTATTGAAAAAGAATGCATAATGCCACTCAGCTTATGATTTGAAGTTGCTCTCAGTGAATGAGCATTCCAGTAGTTATACAGAGAAATATGATTAGTATGCATCAGCAGTACTAGCAAGGATTTAAATTCTGTTTTATTTCAGACAGGCCCACGAATGTCTAAAGATTATGAAACACTACAATTTATTTCTACACCCCCAAAAGACTCTTGCCTCACATCTAAAAGACTTCACAAATTTACTAAAGCATAATAAAATAAGCTAGTCTATAAAGTAACATTCTGGGTTCTTTGTTTTAGCCATAATAAAAGATGATCACCACATCTAGAATTTATCCTTTAAGTAACAGGATTTAAGGCTGGGCTGAAAAGCAAAGCAAACAAAATAAGGATTTTCATTTCTTATGTTAGAGAAAGAAAGAACAAAGACTCTCACTGTTTGCTAGAAGTCCTTTGCAAAATTTATGAAAAGATGGGAGAGAGAACAATGGTGCATAGGTCTCTGATTTTTTCATTAGGACAGCCACTTCCAAAGCCCAGGTCATTAGTAGCTTCCTGGAAATGTAAAATAAACTATTATTTTTGTTACAAGTGACACATGTATCCAACCCACAAAATTACTTTTAAGTTCACATCTACCACAAAAGGACTGAATGATATGATGTACAAACCCTAGAGTTATCAACCTCCTCACACACACTCAATTCATATCAGCATGAATTAGCAGTCATTTGTATTACTTATGAATCAAGTCTGCAATCTTATGCACATACTGAGATGCAAACCCCACTGAACTCACTGAGTCATATTTCTGCATTAACATGCACATTCTGGAAGTTCTATACTATATTAGATGCTTTGGAATTCCTAGGTATATGCAATAATGCTAGAAAATGCCTGTAAACACAACCCACTCCACAGCATGCTATGAGAAACATAAATCACATGTTATATATAAACATCCTCTATAATACTATATTAGTGCTCAACACCTTTTGACAAAAAAGAGACTAGTTACCTGGTATCGTGTGTAAGGTTATCCTTCTTAAGTAAAAGTCCCAACAGATTTAATATGATAGAGAAATGTTTCTTCGTAGCTGTTGTTACAGTGCTAATGACAGCTCCATCAAACAAGGAAGGAGAGGAGGAACTTAGGCTGCTAGATATGAAGTGGTCATGCCTAGAGAGCAATGAAAAATTCATGTTTAGCAATCACCAAACGCACAGGATTCCAACATCTTTGCTTTATCTTTCTAATGTAAAAGTACTATAATAATGAAGCTTAAAACCTAAGTTTTTCTCAAATAACTATTTTATTGTTATGCTTCACTGCCTACTACTACCTGAACAGGCCTGCACGTTTTGCCACCAGAAATTCTTCTGTTACTAATGCCAGTATTAGCACTAGAAAATATCTCAGTATCCTTGGAAGTGACTGACTAAAAAGATTTGATGGTACCCAATGTACTCCTCCAGCTTTCAAAATATCTGTGAATGCCCCAAGATCTCAATTCACCCAATGAAGCTAGAGGCTTTGCTATTATGCCAGTCAAAATATATTTGTTAGTACAGTGGTTCCCAACCTTGGGTACCCAGATGTTCTTGGACTAAAACTCCCAGAAGCCTTCACCATTAGCCAGGATTTCTGAGAGTTGTGCTCCACAAACATCTGGGGACCAATGTACCGTCTAATTTTTAGCCCCTCTGGAAGGGGCTCTGCCTCTCTTGCAGCTTTGCCCCCGCGTGAACACATGACTCCACCCCCCCCGCGCACTGGGTTCCGTCGCAACCAGAACCTAACACGATCACTGTGCAGAGGAGGAAGACAGCTGCACAGAGAAAGCGGAGTTGTGTGCACACATGCCAAGCTCAGCAGGAACTTTGCTGGGGACCCGAGGTCTCAAACCACTGCCTCAGCACATTATAAAAGCTATCTTTCAACAAAGCCTCTACCACATTGGGACAATCCAAAAAAAATGAAGACAACAGACAGTGTTGCAATGACAACACTGCAAGCACTTACTAATGCACCACTATTTAAAAGAGCCAACTACACAAACAAATCGCTCAATTAAAACAACAAATGGCAATGGTTCCTGAATTGAAATATATCTGTTATTTCGTCATTTTATGTTCTATATAATGAATGCCTTCACACCTGGTACAATGTGAATACAGGGTGTAGAGTACTGCATACTGGACGGCAGGGAAGTGTACAGCTATGTCACCATGCGCCACCATCAAGTTCTTGCTCAGTAATGCAAACACCGTTGGAGACAAAGCCCACATCTGCCGAAGCAAGCAATTATAAAGAACAAAGCTTTTATGGAAACTGCATTCTTACAGCTCCTACTGTGGTTTAGTAACTGGAAAACAAAATGGTTAGGAGTCCCTACAACTGTTATTCAATTAAGAAAAGAAAACACACTAAAACGAGTGAACTGTTCTTCTAAGGAAAGGACAAAAAGTGAGCTGTAGATTAAGACATTTTACAGGTAAAAAAACACTTTTTATTCTGTTGTACTGTGCTAGCTGCAATTCAAGTATATATGTAGCTGTATTTGTGATAGAAAATGCACTAACTGTACATATTTACCCTCTTTCTCAATTCTGTCATATATGAACAGCAAACAAACTGCTCCAGGGGGAGGGGGAGGAATATAAAATTAAGCGAACAGACTTGATGGCTTTATAGGCCCCTTCCAACTCTATAATTCCATGATTCTATGAAGTCACAAAAGCAAATAAAGTCATATTAAATCTAAATCTCACTAAATTACTATTTAGTTCAGTTTAGTTTATGAAGTCTTTTAACAGACTATACCAACCTAGTGAGACTTGCCAAATGTAAATAAAATTATACAGTTATGTATCTTCTTTCAATGCTATAGTAAATGACTTTCAATGCTACAAACTAACTTGGCAATAGGTATGGCACGAGTACAATGTTTACGTCGTCAATACCTACTAAAGATTGCAAAACCCAATAGACATTCAAACTCAGTATGTACTAATACTCACTCCAATTAATGAGTTTTTTGCATTTCCAATTGTTGTTAGGGCACTAAGATCAAATATAACAACAAATTTTGCATTAGCCACATCAAATGAATGGTTCTTGAAAGCATCATGTAGAATTTCACAACAAGCTTCTGGCTGGTGTAGACTATGAAGAAGACTGTTCAAGGCACACGCCATTTCTCCAACAATCAACTTGTATGCTGTTTCCAAAACAGGAATGTTCTTTAAGCTCAGTACTGCTTGATAGACACCATGTGCTGATGCAACAACCTTGAAGAGAGAAAGAAGGTGTTCCTTTCACTTATGCCCTCAAACTTGCCTTTTTAAAAAATTGATGTTCACTGATTTTAATCATTTTATTGTCTAATTTCAGTGATTAGAGTAATTTACAGTGGGGTCTTGACTTGAGAACTTAATCCGTATTGGAAGGCGGTTCTCAAGTCAAAAAGTTCTCAGGTCAAATCTGCATTTCCCATAGGAATGCATTGAAAACCATTTGATCCGTATCTCCTCTTTTCCGTCCATAGAAACTAATGGGAAGCTGCTATTCTGCCTTCGACCACTAGAGGGGGATATTTTGTTTCTTTTTTTCTTAGGTCAAGAAAGGTTCAGGGAAGGCAGGGAAAAGACAGTCCAGGCAGTCCAGTACCAGGCAGCCCGAAGACTGTCTCCCAATCCACTCTCTAAACGTTGGGAGGAATGAGGAAGCAGACAGGCCCCCCTTTCACTGGCCAACAGTTAACTGAAAGTTCACATTTTGCACGTTCCCTGCCTCCCACGTGGGTTTTTTTCAGTTCTTAACTCAAATCTAAGTACTTAAGTCAAGTCAATATTTTCCTATGAGAGCGGTTCTTAAGTCAAAATGTTCTTAACTCAAGCCGTTCTTAAGTCAAGACCCCACTGTACTAATTGAGCAATTTTATTTGTATTGCTGTTTTCTGTGGAAAGACAGAATATATACTTCATAAACCAATAATGTTAGTTATTAGCTAGAACTGAAATTAATAGGAGGGATTAGTCACCATTAGCTGGCTGAATAGCTCACTGGTTTAGATATTTGGATAAAAAGCCAGAGGTTGGGAGTCTGATTCTCCACTGTGCCTCCTATGAGTAAAGCTAGCCTGTGTGGCATTGGGCAAGCTGAACAGTCAAAGGGTACCCCCAGAAAGTAGGAACGGTAAACTACTTCTGAGTATTCTCTACCTGGAAAATCCTGAAATGACTTGATAGCACATGATGAAGATGAGTCACCATTAATGAATGGCCCATTTATTTCTGTAGGTCTTCTCTAATGGGGACCAAATTTGCATGGTATATGAACTTAAGCACTGGCAATGCACAACAGTTTATCCTTACGAATTCATTTGTAACAAAAAAAGGCATGGATATGTACCAGGGATGTTGGCAAGTGTTTGGGTCAGAGTCCCAAGTCAGAGTCTTTGACAGCAAGTCCCAAGTCCAAGTCTGATTCTTTGGAACCAAGTCTCAAGCCCGAGTCCCTATTAAAAACAAGTTTTTTTCCCCACAGAAAAAAGGGAGGGGTGGGTGGTTTCTGAATCACAAGTCAGGACCAAGTTATGGGGGGGGGAACCCAAGTCAAGTCCAAATCAAGTCACCAGTGTGACTTAAGTCCTACCTGACAGCAAGTCCCATAGCTTGAATCCCCATCTCTGATAAGCACTCTTAAAATTTAGAAGTTGACATTAAGATGTAAAGGCTCTAAAGATGCATCTACATCTCTGTGTTATAAGATTAACAAATTACTGCTTACCTCCTTTTCCTTGTGGAAGCGGAGCTCTAGCAATTTAGAGCTTGGCATAAACAATTTCTCTATAAATGATGACGGAAGTTTTGTATTTATTTGTTCAACAATCTAAAGAAAAAACAAGTACTTTGTCATTACACTTTTATTTGTCAAATCATCACTTTGACTCTAAGGCCTATCTTAATCCACTCATGTTAATTCAACACGATCACAAGAGCAATGAAGGCAGAATTCCCACATAAACAAAAATTTACCATCTACACCATTTCATCATAATGACTTTTAGCAGAGGATGTTTAGAATCATCTGTACCATTATTTTAGCACAAAAAGATTTAATTTTCAAATATCATGTTTTAGAATTCATATTGTCATTTATAAAGCATGTATTAGAAGATCCACACGTCCTTGCCTTTTCCACAGAACCCCTTCAAATACGTCACCTTTTCCTAATTACTACATTTACAGGAAACTGGATTACAAGCTTTAAACAATTTCTTGAAGGCAATAAAAATGAATTTATAACCCAAATTGAAATGAGGCATTAACTTGAGTCTCCTCAATCCATCTAAATGAGCATACTATAGTTTATAAGTAAATCTAGATATGAGTGTTGTATATACCAGCATCAATAAGATGAGCACCGAGATGATATAATCAGTACCACAAATCTGACAGTTTTTCAGTTGATCTAATCCATAAGAGATGACTGTGTCAAAGCGTATACTTATACTGGGATCCAGACTACCAAGCAGGACACCGACACACTCATTTGCAGCTGTCAATACAGCCTCAGAAAAGAAGACTTGATTGGCCGCTGTCACACATCTAAGTACCCTGTATAGAACCTGTACAGAACAAATCAGGGAAATCAATGAGTGTCCTTCTGAACTCAGGCTGAAATTTCACACACATCTAAACACATCTGTTTAAGCCAACACTTTGAAAAAGTAAAACCACCATTTACATGTTCAGTGCATAATAAATTTTAAAAGGAGCTTGAAAGAGTAAAGAATAAAACATGAAGAACATACGGTCCACTATGAAAGTGGAATCGGATACTTTTACATATCCTATTTTTACACATTAGATGGAAGAAATTTAAATTTATATTATTAAAAGCAATGGTACAGAAAGAAGCTAAATTCTGGTCAGAGCACATTCCACATAGTCATTCTGTTTTTCTTTGCTTCAACTTAAGACACGACATCTGATGCCACTGATTTCACATGTCATTTAGCCTTCTGAAGAATGTTCTATTCTGATCTCTGACAGAAAACAATATTTACATAACCTGAAGTGTACTTACTCAGAAGGCCCTCAAATGTGACAGGGATGTTAGGTCCCTTGCAGCCAAAATCTGGAAATCTAACCTTTTTGGACTACAACTCACAGAAATCTCCAACTACCATGGCCAGCGGTTATGCTGGCTGGATGACTCTAGGAGTTGCAGTCAGAAAAAGTAACATTTTACAACCTAAAAAACTGCCTCCTAACAGATGAAGAAGAACAAGTATACAATATCTTGAGTCACTGGACAACAAGCAGAGAGAAGATATATAAGTCTAATATTATATTATATTATATTACTATTTAACATTTATATATAAAACTACAAAAAAAGATTTTTGCAAGCAATATGAAACAAATAATGAAACTTACATCAGCCACATATACATCAGTGATTGGTGGCCCTCTAATAGGACTGAATCGCTCTCCAATACTCCTTACCACTGTACTGAAAACCCGAAGCAGTGCTGCCAATTTGGGCAGTGAAACAGAAGGAGGCGGAATATCTTCATCTACCGATTCTCCAGAAGCCACATGGCCAAGGTCCTACATGAAGAAATTTACTGTATTCAGAAGGTACTGATTACAAATTCATACACTCGAGATGCTGTGTGTTTTAAAATGACAGCACAAGATACTGTTATCTCTGCACCCAGCAAAACACAGAAAGGCTCAACAGAGACTGCTCTGCAGACTTTTCAGCTTCTGCAAAACCCATCCACAAGTACCAGAGTCCACTGGCGTGATAAGGCCAACAGAGGATGGTTCAACGTTAAAAACTGGTTTTGCTTCAAATGAAGTACTTAGAAAAACAAAAACTATACCCAGTAAATGGCAACTATACCCAGGTAGACAGGCAGGCACATACAAAAACACGTGTGTGCGCGCACACACGCACACACAGACACGCGCGCACACACACAAACACACAAACACACAAACACACACACACACACACACCATATATAGACATGTTCTTGTGTTTATCTGGAATAGAAATAACAGTGTCCTTCCCTGCACGGGAGGACTGCCTTACACCAACTTCATTATCCCTTGAGCACCATACAAATCCTAATTCGATTCTTCCATGGCTGTTAAGTCTTGGATTGCCATTTTACCTTTGGACATGGGATTCATTTGGACTGAGTTAGGGAACCAAATATTCTTTTCTTCTGATATAAAGGTTTTGAATCTGTTTTTGCCATTTTTTCCTAATTAGACAAATTAGGTAGTTTTTTCTGTGGTCTGAAGCAGAAACACAACTTCTGGTAGGACGCTGAAGCAAAATATATAAAATAATGCTATGTATTTGTTTGTATACTGCTCCATTAGTGCAAAAGCACTACTCTGGGTGGTTTACAATCAATAAATGTACATAAAAACAGAATAGCAATCTACACATGAAGTGGTGGAAATATAAAATGAAATATGGCATGGGCATATAACCGTATAGAGCAGCAAGAGTTGCCAAAAAATCCCTCTTTGTAAAGCGTAAAGCAGTGATCTTTTTAAAGGCGGGGAGGGAAGGGCCCAGGTGCAGTTCCACTGGCAGTTGCATAGGCCCTACTTCTACTGGAGTATTTCTGGACCTGCCTTGGAGTGGCTACGCAGAGGATCATGGCCCAGGAGGACCTAGTGGGTCAGGTGGATAACCTTAGGAAAAGGTGCTCTGACTGATAACGTGGTCCAAAACTGTGAAGGGTTTTATAGGTGATCATCACAATTTTTGTAAATTTGTGGAAAGCCATTTTGTAAATAGTTTATACAGTATTTCCTGTAACCTAATTGTTCTATACATCTTGTTAATACAATTCCAAGGTATTTGGAACTTGAGCGGCAATCAGTTACTTTCACTAACCCCTGGTAGTCTGCATTTTATTTGTCACAATGAAGCAGAATAGCTTTGATTTCACATGTATTTTCGATTTGTATGTCAAACAAATGCTTCTAGTGTCTGTTTAAATACTCCATTTTCTCACTGTTATTTTGTAAATATATAAAGCCAGAAGCCTGTTGTACAACCTTATGCAATGCACCTCAGGTCATCAACTATGGCCATTTTGGGGGGAAATTAAAGTCCCCCCCCCAGGTTCCAGTGATTCCTAAAGGTTCCTTTCATCCTGGGGAGCTACTGATTGGGGGGGGGGATGGCACTTTAATGCCTGAAAATTGCTACCACAAGTCCCAAAGGCAGGACCAGGATCCACAGTGGTGACGTCTGGGAACAACATAATATATGCAACAGGTTTTCAGCCACTGTCTGGAAATAGGTTGGAGTTCTTGTTCCTTCCTATTTACTCTTTTGCCTTCAATTTAGATTTTTCAGATTTTTCCTATCAGATCTGTCAATGGCTCAACTACTAGTGTAATAAGCAGCAGAAATAAAGTAAATCCTTGCCATGTCCCTTCACCTAGTGCTGTTGATTCTAATTGTGTCATTTGTGCATATCTGCATGCTTTGCTAATTTTTTATAATCTTGACAACACAGCTATGAATTTTCCCAAAATTCATTGCAGTCTAATAAACTAAAGATATATGGCCTTTACAAAGTACTGAACATCAAGAAAGATCAAAAACATTTTTCTCTTGTGGCTATTTCCTTTGTGCACTGAATTTCCAGGCCTGCACTTACATTAAGGATGTCACTGAACAAGGTTGCTAACTAAGGGGTTACAGTTTCTGCTAACTATACAAGGAATACATCTTTTGCTGGGAACTTTTTCACTCTTTTGTTTGACTGTGCTTGAAGCCTCTTTGTTTGTGAAAGGGACTTCTAAGAGTGCTCAATGTTTATCTTTAGTTTTGTTGTTGTTGTTCAGGAAAAGATTTCAATATAAATATCATCACTCGTTATTTCAGATTCATGTTGAATATACTGTAATATTAGACTTGGAATTTTTAAATTTATTTCAATGAGAGAGGTGATTTCTTTCCTGATTTAACTTGCTGGTATTCCACATTGCTCTTTTTAGGACTCTGGTCAGAATCTCTTGACTTCTTGTTCCTGCACTTATTGGCATTTTAAAAGTAAACCAATGAAGTCTGAATTCTATCTGTTTCTATTGCCTCAAATTCTACCTTTTTAAAATAGCTGCTTACAATGTATCCTCTTTTTTTCCTTTATGCAGTTTTATTAATGTGACAATGTTTTCCAGAAGGGCATTTTTTGTGCCTCTCCTTTGATTTTTTTTAAATTCTGGATGCATTACAGCTCTCCAAAGCTTTTGTATTGTCCTATTAGTCTGCACCTAGTGCAGTGGTCCCCAACCTTTTTGGGACCATGGACTGGCTGAGCCCCCGAGGAACGCGCGCCCCCGGCAGGTGCACGCACTCTCGGGCGCATGTGCAAAGCGGTGGGGAAATGCCTGCCCACCAGTGCCAGCATGAGCGCTCCCCCACCCCTTCGCAAATGCACAGGGACACCTGCACGCCTGCAAGCACGCCCACCCCTTCGCGTGGGCACATGTGTGAAGGGTTGGGGGAGCGCTCACACCAGCGCTGGCATGTGCACATAGCAGCTATGGGGAGTGGAGTGCGTGCGGGGGGGGGAGGTCTGTCCTCAGGCCACGGATTGACAACTTCTGACCTAGTGGATGTCATTGACTAGTCTGCTTTGTAGCTTTTTACGAGAACCAACATTTTTCATCACCCCAGCTCTGCCCTCATCCTATTTACACTATACATTACTCTTAAGCTATTCAGTTTTCTTCACTGTAAATATTCGATGTGGCCTCAATAAATTGTGCAAACCATATATAAGCAACAGGACACTACTGGACATCTTACAGATTACTTCTGATGGTGTTCTTACTTCGGACAAATATTAGAGTAATATGATATACACTACATGGCAAAGATCTTACCACAGCCACCGCTGCTATTTCAATACTTCTCTCATTGTGAGATCACTCAAAAAGACACACCTGGGTAATATTCACGTATATCTGTGGAACCCAGGTGTTTTTGGACTGCTACTCCTAGAAACCTAACCAGCAGAGCTAGTGGTGAAGGCTTCTGGGAACTGCAGTCCGAGAACACCTATATTACCCAAGGTTGAGCACCACTGTTTTGTTAAAATGTGTGACTCTCTATCACTGCTGGAATAACTTTTACTTTCAAACTACACTCAAAAAACGGCTGTTTGTGTCAGCATTTTACGCCTTCTCTCCTAAGCTTCTCTGTATATTGTTAAGACAGCTTCCAAAGTGCTGGGGCTTTTTTGCAGTATATTCTTGGATAATGCAAAAAAGCCATTTCATTTATTTTTCACAGAATCTGTATTTTTCTAGTATATGTGTTTTGGATGCTTTGATTTTAGTATGAGAGCCCTAGGTGTTTCAATATGTTGCTCACTGATCTGTACATGTAGCATTCATTGTTCTATTGGACTAGAAAGGCACCGTATTATTTTACTCCTTGACTCCAGTGTCTCCCCAAAATGCTAATTCAGTCTTGGGCTTCCATTTCTGACATCTTCCATTTTATTTTGGAGTACCTATGTTTAGTTGTAACTCTCACATTTTACTTTCTTACTCAGTCTTTGCTCCTTCCTCTAAAGTCTTCTTAAAACTTATTACAGTTTCTGACAGCTTAGTCATTTTCAGATCTAAGGAACAAATTGCCTATTTTCTTGAAGCTCTCTTCAAAATTGGTGAAGGTGTTTAATTAGTTGGTTATTTTGAACTCTTGTTCCTTTTTGTGCCTTTTGAGTTTGCCAGCATCATGCTGTTGTTCGTTTCTTTAGGATCTAGTGTCAGATCTAGGATTGGTTCTTTCAAATAAAATAATCCTTTAAATCCTTTCCTAGAGTTTCTACTCTCCATTTAACTCTAGGGTCATTTATTTCCCTGGTGTTCTCTTTTTTTTTGTTCAAAATAGTTGTCTTGAACAATTAAAAAACAACAGCATGGAGAATCAGAAGAATGCTATTATCGCAGTTGACAGCCAGCCCACACACCATCAATTCCAAAATTGTATTTTATTTCAGTGTTAGTATTCTATTTTGAGGCACTACTTTAACTTGTAAACCACACCAGATGCAGAGAAACTTTAAATAAACAAATACGAATATCCTCCAATAACTGTGCAAACGGAAGTGCACAGGAGAGGAATATGGAATCCATCTTCCCTTCTGCTACAATTTCATCAGTCTGGCCCTCATACTCCATATAAACTTATTTGATAGAAAATTTGTCCTGTCCAATTTCTGTGATCAGAACTACTGTACCAGCAATTCATAGCAGATGTATAAGACCTATTCAACAGAAAAGAAAGAAGGTGTCCCCTAGGTCAGACCTCTTCCTAGGATTTTGTTCAGAGAGTCTGCTTCCTAGCAGCTAGAATAGGAAAGAACATCAGTGGCTGGACCACTGGATAGTGACAAATAGGGAGAATTACTATTTAACTAAGTTTATACCTTTGCCAGAGTATTTCTCCCTCTTCCCGCACACTGATCAAAATCTAATTACATACTTCAGTATCAAACACCAGTGGCTTCATAATCCCCACTCTACTCTTGCTGCAGGCCTCCACAGTTTCAAAAGCCTGTTCCAAAATGTCTTTCAGCCTTCCAAGGATTGCAGGGACCAGCAATTCCAACGGAAGCAGAGGTGCACTAACGATTCCAAGCATTTAAAACCGTTTTTCAACATGTTAAGACACTTTTGTAATTGAAAAAAATGAACATCGTTAAGTGAAGCAGGGGACCTAAAACAAAAAACGTTAAGCGAAGCATGGTCCCAAAATCGCTATGTGAAAATCGCCCATAGGGAAAAACGTTATACGAAGCACAATCTGACTCTGAAAAAATAAACGTTAAGCGAAAAAAACGCTAAACGAAGCAAACGTTATGCGAGGCACCACTGTACCAGCAATTCATAGCAGATGTATAAGACCTATTCAACAGAAAAGAAAGGTGTCCCCTAGGTCAGACCTCTTCCTAGGATTTTGTTCAGAGAGTCTGCTTCCTAGCAGCTAGAATAGGAAAGAACATCAGTGGCTGGACCACTGGATAGTGACAAATAGGGAGAATTACTATTTAACTAAGTTTATACCTTTGCCAGAGTATTTCTCCCTCTTCCCGCACACTGATCAAAATCTAATTACATACTTCAGTATCAAACACCAGTGGCTTCATAATCCCCACTCTACTCTTGCTGCAGGCCTCCACAGTTTCAAAAGCCTGTTCCAAAATGTCTTTCAGCCTTCCAAGGATTGCAGGGACCAGCAATTCCAACGGAAGCAGTGGGATCCAACAATAGTTCATAGGGGGGATTTGACTTAAATCAAAGCAATTTGAATCATTAGTCAGTAAGTATTTTATTTTTAAAATACAATTTAACTATTAAAAATTAGATTTCAATTTTTAAAAATCTGATTTTTAAAGTTTTTGCTTTAGATTTGATTTTTTTAAAATAAAATATTTACTAGTGACTTAAATCATGATTTAAATTGATGTGATTTAAATCAAATCCACCCATTAGTGCACTACTGAATATAAACATGAATATATACAATATATGCCAATACTCCTTACCCTACTCCTTTCAGAGCCATTATCAAGAAAAATGTTTTATTACCTCAGCATAAGCTTCCATATCCTCTAGAAACTGACCCAAAAGTGTGGTAGAAAATGCAAGGTCAGCTACCCAAAATGGTTCCAGGCTCTGTAACCATCCTACAGAAAGTGAAAAGTTAAGATCAACATGTTTGTTCTCTCTGAAATGAGGTCTTATAAAATAACCAGCCCCAAATAAAACTAATATTGTAGGGTTTCCAACGCATCAGCTATTTATTCAGAAAACCATCCATTTGAAGAATTTATTTTTCTACAAACCAAGTTAGAACACTGCATAATCATCCTGCTGAAAGGACACATCAACAAGTGAGAATCAGAGAAAGTTTGTGGTAAAGTTTATCTGTGAGGAATACTAACTAACAAAGTACCTTAAGATGAAACTGAGTAGGGTTGCCAAGTAAGTGTCTAAAACAAAAGGTATTTTGAAAAAGGGTGTGTTCAATAAGGGATATCACATGCAGTTTGTTCTAGGTTACGCTCTAGTGCAGGACCATTTGATTAAGAATGGGGATTTACCAGAAACCCGGCCAATCTTTTTATTCAAAATCTGCCTTTCCTTCCTTTTTCCTAACTGAGATGATACTAGAAGCACCCATAACAATGAACCCATGCTAACTTTATAGTCACATGGGGCAGTTAAATATATATTTTATTTAAATCATCAAAAAAAATCCATTTTAAAGTGGATTCTTTCTAAGAGACCAAGATATTTTGTTTTGTCAGCACCTCAGTGAAGTATCCCCAGAACTACACCAAAATACAAATTCAGCAAACCCAGAAAGGTGGATAAAAATGATCAACTTTAAAAAAGATAAATTTAAATCATTTTATAAAAATATATTTTTATTTAAATAATTTTAAAAACTCTATTTTTAAATTTGAATCCATACTGGAACCTAGAAAATGAAAACAGAAAGATGATTTGTAAGTGAAGAGAGTGCAGGACAAATGGGGCCTGGAACAAAATGTCATGAAGTGGAGCATTCCTATTCAGGAAACTGTGCTCCATCCCAGTACCCCTTCACAGTCAATATTGTGCAGCCACTGGGATCGCTGGCAGTTTCCGTAGCTTTTCACCGGGGGGTCGGGGTGGGGAGAGAGATTCTGCGAAACTTTCAAGAAGCCTCCCCTATTGTCCAAGTGGTGCTGATTTCACTACCAATGACCAGCACACTCAATAAAATCATCTGTGCAGCATTTCCCAACCCTTCCCACAGATGTGACAAAACTGTCAATACAGCCAGTGGTCAGGATGGGTGGGTGCTGTAGCCCAATAATGTCTGGAAACCCAAGAAACCTTTTCAATTACTTTCTACTTCTCAATTCCTGTATAACTAGAAATTAAACCAAATAACAATTACTGTTTTAAAAAATCTGATTTATGTTAATAACCCTATGGGGAAAACAGGTCATTATGCATTTTCCAATAGCTTGCTGACATTTAACATTATTATTTAAAAAGTAGCCAAATATTCCTCATTTGTCCCACAGCGCACAAATTTCACCTCAAATCCTGTGAGAAATACCACTTCGTCCTTTGACAAACAAAATAAACAGAGTAGAAATTACTTTTTACCTTCCAGTAGAAGACCAGAACATATATGACCATCATGCAACATTAACTTCTTTTTGCAGACTTACCTGACACTAGCAGGGTCAGAGAAGGTTTCTGAGTGTGATCAATATGCCATCCAACTAATATGTCAACAGTGTCCTTAGAAAGCAAAACAAAATGCATAAATCAATAAATAACAAATAAAAAATCAAGCCATGTATAAAACATATTGTGTCTATATTCATTTAAGAACAAGAGAGGTGAAAGACCTTACCCTAAAGTTAGTGCTGAAAATGTGAGGATAACATCGGGACACATGAAGGATACACATGACACATTTGCACAGCAAGTCCGGTGTATCCACATTCTCTAGAATAGACTGCAAGCTAGTCATGACAAGCTGTAGGAGTAAGTGAACAAAGTGATAAAATATTGAACAAAGATATTATTTGTTCATTATTGAGAGATATTTAAAGATATTATGTGTCTCTTCAAAGCAGAGAAGACAGTTATTCAAAACATGAGTAAAAGTTCAGAAGGGGTGTACTTCTCCCAAATCAGGCTTCTATTTTGCCCCGGATACAGAAACCAATGAGTGTCATGTATTATAAGGCAGTTAAAAGAAGACCAGTAGGATCAGAACATGTTTCCCAACAATCATCAGGGTGGTTTGTGTTTGTTGTTGTTGTTGCTGTATTCTAGAGACCCCTTTATTCCAGCGGACTGCTATGGTATCTTCTTGGTACAGTGAACTGCATTTCATAAAACTGAATATATCATGTGTTACATTAAAATATCTGTATCAATTCATTCGTATGCTACATTAATTACATTTCAGCATGTTCATTTTAAAAACCATTCAATGTGCTAAAAACAGAATGCTCCAATGTAACTGTTATGCTTACTTGCATTACAGATGAAAAGGCTTTCTTCTCTCCCACAGTCTCCAGTGCTTTGTAAGTTGCACATAAGTAGAGAAGCTTCACTTCATCTTTAGCAGATGAGCTAAATTTGCTAAAAATCCATTTAAAGATTTTCTCCGCTTCGTAGCTCAGAGAAGCACAAAGGAGGCCAAGACAGCAAGCACCCTCCTGTCTCAGTTCTTGAAGCAATTTGCTACTGCATTTACAGAAGAGAAGGGGAAAGTGTTAAGGAAACATTTACCCAATGTTAACAATAAAGGCTTGTGCACACAGTCTTGATATGGATATCTTTTTCCATTAATATCATATTAAGAAGTGGAAATACATAATATTGTGGCAGAATGTCCATTTGATGCCATCTTTCCACCAGACTCATAAGTGCAATCATGAACTTGCTGCCTGTATGGATTCACATATAGAACCCTGCCAGATAGTAGGAATAAAGGTGCATTCAGAGAATAAAAAATCTACCTTCTTAATCTGTGCTGTGTCATCCACACACACACTCATATGTACACGAAAAATCACTGACATAGATATACCTTATTATTTCTTATATAGATATTAAATCATGTTCCTGTTCACACACTTGCTCTTACCCACGGCTCCCTGCCAGCATATTTATAGTCACCTTATACTCATCAGGTTCTACATTAGTCAGTGGGGTTCAGATTGGCAAAGTAGGGAGTTTTAGAAGCCCTCTTCTGCTGACGCTGCCTTCTGTCCATCTCCTTCTCACCACCTTCCAACTTCTTGTCATTCCAGGGAACCAAAATACCACCTTAGAAGAGCTGGACCAGCATCTTCCTCAGAGTTCAAATAAGGCCTCCTTGGTGTCTGCTTTTTTTTGGGGGG